AAAAAATAAAACTAATAATCCTTGCGACATCAGTCTCCATAAAAACGACGGACGGACAATATTTGCGAAAGTTTGAAAACAAATGATGGGGGATGAAGTAAATGAGTACGACCCTAAATGATGAATGCTTGTGAGGACGACCCTAACAGATGAATGTTCGTGAGGATGACCCTAACAGATGAAAACTCGTGAGGACGACCCTAAACAGAGGAATGCTCGTGAGGACGACTATGATAAAAAGATGGTGATAATGCAAGTTGAAGTAGCTCGTTGCCTGCACTCCTTCCTGTGTCGTTTTAACTAATCACACAAGACAATAACTCAGCTGCTTCCTTTACAAATATCACGTTGATTTTGTTTATTCGGAAACCTTCACAGTTCCGCGTCCTTCGTGGAGAGAGGAGACGCAGAGTTATTGCACCATCAAGTGCTCTAGTTGGTTAAAGAAAATCTACCGGCAGCTGCTCTGATTGGTTGAAAATGTTCTTTTGCTGCTGCTGCTGCTGCAGCTGCTGCTGCTGCTGGTGGTGGTGGTGGTGGTGGTCGTCGTCTGATTAACTGAAGCAGCGTTTCAGGAACCTGCTGCGACTGGATGAAGCCTCTCTACCAGCAACTTTTCTGGTTAGGACGAAACCTACACTCTCAGCTATTAGGACTGGTTGAAACTCAGCCGTGACTGCAGTAGCAGTTAGCTGCTGCGCAGGCAGTAACTATACTTTATTTAATTAATCTTGTTGGCAGCTTATTACCATAAAACAGCCAGCAGCAACGTGATGAAAAATAACATCAGCTTTAAAGCATTACAAATTTGACGACTAGTAACGCTTTCCAGGGAGATTATTGTGGGTCATCTCGTGCTATCAACCGCTTCATTTGCTTTAGCATACACAGAGAGACGCAGAGAGAAGGTAATTCTTCTGTTAGCTTTCCATAATTTACATATTATACTATACACAGTATCGGTGTTTGCCTCATCTCTACCTTAAGAGTAACATGACACTTGACTTCCTGGAATTCTACACAAATAACCCGCATATATAGGACTGAGAAGCTGAAGACGACGTTTCGGTCCGACTTGGACTATTAACAAGTCAGTATGGCTTGTAAATAGTCCAAGTCGGACAGAAACGTCGTCTTAAGCTTCTCTCTCCTATGTGCGTTTTTTTTTTGTGTATTCCAGTCACGGTATTATGTCTTTTCATTCTTCTTGCTAAAATTCGTTTCCATTTGAAAGCAAATGGACCCGACGTGATCTCTACAGTTAAAGTGTCTTCACAAAAACAAGTAATGCAACATATATATTTTTCTTCACTGTTGCAGACACAATATGCCAAAACAGAATGCGGCACATAGACGACAAAGCTCGCTAACAGAGTGCATGACACACATCCGATCCTTCCCACTGACTGGGCAAGGAGTATGGGCCCGTCTTGCTGACCAGGTTTATCTAGCTTAATATGCAGTAGGTACCGGGGTTAAACTATGTAAAAGAATATAATCCTTAAGGAAATTTAGATTTAATGAACGTCTTTACCGGCAAAACTTTATTTTTTTTAGTGTACATCCTCTCATCTATGGTCTAATAACCCGAATCGATGGGTCAGTCAATTTTGCTTTAAAATACATATGTATATTTGTTTATAAATATTGACGTATTCAAATGAATGAACATGATTTGCAGATTTATTCACATTTGTATCCCAGCCCTGGCAAAAATTAGGTTATATAGTTAATCCTAATTATTTCGTGATGTTTAGGCAGATTTTCGTGGAATTATAACAAACATTAAGGTACATTTGGGTTGTATATGGCTTGCAGAATAAGCCAGGTTGGCAAATTTTGAAAAAAAAGCAAGACGTAAATATGTATATGCATATCTACTGCTGTGATAAATGGTTAAAAAAAAAAAAGAAGTTGAAGATTGAGACACATATGCAACATATGGGAGTCTTTATTTCCTCAATAAAGATTCCCATATGTTGCATAAGTCTTCATATCTACTGCTGCAAGTCCTCGGAAAATTGATTTGAGAAGCACATTATATTCTCAGTCTTGGAACTGCTAAGACCGCAGTACGATTCCCATGACCGCCATGTTACATTACACACGCACTTAACAGGTAGTTAATAAGGTTATACAATTGTTTCTGCCTCCAAGTGGATTATTACCTAACATCCGTAACATAAATCACGTACACACAACACAACTAACATAATATTTTGACATCTGTTTAAATACCATTCTTTTGATAATTTTTTTTGTTCACTCTCATTTATTTATGATGGTAGCAATTTTTTCTGGGCGGACGGCTCTATATTATTATTATTATTATTATTATTATTATTATTATTATTATTATTATTATTATTATTATTATTATTATAGACGTTATACAGTGCCTAGGAAATGAAAGAGGTAATCAGATTTAATCCATGGAAGAGAACGTCAGCCCCAGTTCCTTTGATCAAGAACCCTTTACTAGCATCAGGGTCATTGGCGTGTTGATCCATATTACGAACACAGGTGTAGAATGGCCTTCACGCCTTGTCATAATGGGATAAATAATGAAGCAAACAGAAAGACAACAGAGGTTATGTGACTTGTATTTCCTTCAGCAAATAAGCAAGCTGGTATTTACAATATGTACACTGCAATATGTACAATAATGTAAGAGTAAGAATACAACACGGTAATCAAAGGAGGTAAAACGCAAGAGCCAGACAAAGTACTGTGAGCGACCTGCAGCCTAGACAAGTCTGCCAAAACTCGTGCCACAAGTGAACCACGTTGCTTCACAGCTCTCGTGAGCTTGTCTGTGATTAGCAGATGAACCGAGGTACTGATATAGCAACGGGGCCCTACTGATCGTTAAACCCTTAGCACTTGGTTCATTGGTCGGGAGGCAGCCTGTATGGGAGTGTGATATACACCGAATAAAATGTAATGTACTTGTAGAATGCCATGATCCAGCTCAACGAACTCTCGAAGGCTTAATTTCACATATTTATCGTATATTTGGGGATCATCTAGGAGGAGGAAGAATCAGAGGTAATCGGGTTTAATCCGAGGGAGAAGGTAGCTCTAAATCCTTGGAAAAGAACCCTTCACCTCCATCAAGGCAACCCCGCTGATTTATTAAAAAAATAACAATTTTCCTAGATTAAGAATGAAAAAGGAGTTAGTCGTTCGATAATTGGGTCAATTAAGTTGTGAAAGGGAAGCCGAGTCTTGCTCGAGGAAAATATCGGGGGTTGGGAAAAGTATCGGGGGTCAAGGAAAGTTTCGGGGGTCGGAGAAAGTATCGGGGGCTCTTTAAACGCCGGGGTACGTGTGGTATCCTGGGGGATGGATGGTATGGGGGAGGGAGGAAGTGCTGACACCGTTTAAATAACTCTTCAATGGAACCCATTAAGCAGAAGCCCCAGGAAGCAGACGGTTTGAGGAAAGTTGCCGCCGCCACGACCGTCGTACTTCCACCAGCTTCGCCTCACAGTGTCTCCGCGCACGCACACATGCTCGCTCAATTGTCCTGAAGTAAGTTGACAATCTGTCGTTTTCTCACGTATAACAGTTTGTTGACTAGTACAGCGGGAATGGCAGTAGCAGCAGTCACCAGCGGTGGTCGGTGGAAAGTAAGAGACAGTGACGGCACTGCCGGCAGCAGTAGCGACGGCGGTAGCAGCAATGGCAGTAACTGTGGCAACGTCAGAAACAGTGGTGGGCGGTACCAGGCCGTTAACCACATTCCACACCATACTCATAATCCCTTCTAAGTTCTTAACGATAAGCTTCAGCGAATGTTGATGAAAGAGAATCTCCCAACGTAGGGAGGGAGGTAGGTGGGAGAGGTGTACTCACCTATTTGTACTCACATATTTGTGGTTGCAAGGGCCGAGTCTCAGCTTCTGGCCCCGCCTCTTCGCTGGTAGCTGCTAGGTTCACTCTCTCCCTCCTTCGGGAGCCTATTGTACTCTCGGTGGAGCCCAGCTGGTACTCTCGATGGCTCCCAGCTGGCAATCGGGAGCTTCCAGTTGGCACTTGGGAGCTCTCAGAAGGCACTCTAGACGACCGTCTGAGAATCGATCTAATCACCAGTGCTGCAAAATTCTCGTGTAACTGCCTTCATTTGCACGACTCAAGGAGGAGGATGTCTTGATGCAGGTTGACTCTTGATCCAAGAAATCAGAGCTACTCTCCTATTCCGTAGATCAAACCTAATTAATTCCCATTCTCCAGGTGGTTTCACTTCTACGAGTTTGGCGTTCCCCCGTAACTAGAAATAATAATAATGCTATTTTCCACCATGCTATTTGCTTTCCTCAACAGTTTACCGTATCAGTTTAAACCGTCAGTGATTATCAGGGTGTTTGCTGACGTATAGGACTCGCTGTTTGCATCCTGTGTGTTGTTTATGTTTGTTTACATTACGGGGCAACATGTAAACACAAATACACTTGAACTCTTATACAAGAGTTCTAAATGTTTATATGGACACACACACACACACACACACACACACACACACACACACACACACACACACACACACACACACACACACCTGAGTACACACACATACACCTGAATCACATAAAGACTTCATTCTCGTAATGATCAGTCATTCCTTACAGCTCATTCATAACAGCACTCACAAACGTCGACACAGCAACGTTCGTGAGTGCTGCATAATATGCAGCATCAGCAGCCTTACACACGTCTCTATACTGTAACAACACGACTTACTACACGCCACTACCATAACGTTAGATCGAGACGTCACTGTGAAGCACCAATCACCACGAGAGCTCCGCCACCCCCGTTATTTGGAACACGCAAGCCACGCCCACATAGTGATGCAATAAATAACGTCATCAAAAGTTAGCCAATCACGATCAACGAGTGACATAACAACAGTTTCCTGATAAACCTTAAACAATTCATCCTTGTGATTCAGTCATCCTTGTGTATTGACAAATCATTTTATGATTTGTCAATATATATTGCTTGCTTTAGCCGCGGCATCACAGTTCCTGTGTTGTAGACTCGATCCTTTTATTTCTTCTCAGTGTTTGCTTGCACCAGATGATTCGCATTTTAAAGATTTTAATATTGGCAGTTGGTTCCGTCAACTTCAGGTTAACGTTTGTAAGTGTTAAATCTGGGTCGATGTGAGTGAGAGAGAGAGAAAGAGAGAGAGAGAGAGAGAGAGAGAGAGAGAGAGAGAGAGAGAGAGAGAGAGAGAGAGAGAGAGAGAGAGAGAGAGAGAGAGAGAGAGAGAGAGAGAGATAAGAGGTTTCCTGAAAGCTGAGTGGTACAGTGCTGCTGTTGTGTGCTAGTGGTGGTGATGGGTTGCTCAGTGTCAGCACAAGCAGTGCAGGGAGAGGGTAGGGTGAGGCAAGGGATGCTCCGAACCTGGATGACAGGTATATAGCAAGCTTCGCAGCAGAAACGAGCGATATTCAAGAAATTGTGTTCATAGTGAAGAAAGTCGGCTGCAAGGTGCTGTGAAGTCTTCCGAGTAACACATTGCTGCCAGTAATGATCTAGAAGATAACTCCAGTGCCAAATTAGCAATGTTCAACCACAGCAGTAATAATAACACTTGCAACATATATTTCATAGATGACGATGCCCCAGAATGGTTGTGTTGGGTTCGGTTGCTCATGTCTCTGGTGCTGGTTGCCGAGTCTGTGCTCACTGTCTATGTGATCAGTAACAGTGTCAAGATGCGGAAGAAGTCCTCAACGATACTGGTCACCAACCTGGCTCTCAGTGGTGGCTTGTGTGGAGCACTAGTCGCTCTATTTACCTTGGTGAAGCTGACGTACTTACCAGAGCCACACTCACTTCCTCAACACTTCTGCATCATCATCATCCCGCGTTACTTCCACATCGTCTCCGTCCTCTGTCTCTCTTGTCTGGCTCTGGATCGCTATCTGGCTATCTGCTGGCCCCTACACTACCACAGTTTAATGACTGATAACCAGTGTAAAGCTCTAGGCATGAGCTGCTGGATTCTGCCGGTGTTAGCACTAATCATCCTGATCCTAAGAGCTGCTTTCATCCACTGCTTCAGTGCCTTCCCCTTCCTCACCACGTATATCATTGCTTTCTCCATAGCACTGTCCATAGTAGTGTTCATGTATGCTCTAATGGCTCGAGAGTTCAGGCTGAATCGGCATCAAGGGCCACATGTCAACAAAGCGATGGAGGAGGACAACCGTCGCCTGCGAGAGAAAACAGCTCGAGATGTCCTCGTCATGGTGTTCCTCAACCTGCTCCTGGCTCTCCCCGATGTGAGTACCAGACCACTTTGAGTGCACGCTGATATTTACATAACATACCTCCCCTCTCTCACACTTCCCTTTTCCTTCCACTCGCCTTCCATTCCTCTCGCTTCTCTTATTCAAGCTAACTTCTACCAAAAAGACACCTTTTAAGACTCTTAATTACACCCACTTCATATTATCCCCCGTCATCATCTCTAATTGCCTTCTCTTACATTTCCTTCGCCACGTAAGTGGTCCGTTGCTATTACCTACTACATCGTCTCCTGACCTTCTTCCACTCCTCACTTTGCTTTACTGTAAACGCAAATAATTTTTACAAGTAAATTCCCAACACTGGTCCAGTCTTGGGGGTTTTCTATGCAAAGTTTGAGTCATTGTGATGCAATATGCAGAACCCTCTCCATGGTAAAAGAATTAATACTATATAAAAAATACTTAAATGGAAAATAAAGCGGGATTACAGTACATAAGAGAGTGTTTTGTGCATTGTGTTATGACAGTGAGGCCAGGCATACTGGGGGCTTCAACCTTTTTGTATGAATAACATCTTTTGTAATACCAGACTCGTGTTTATTTATCATACATGCAAGGATATATAATGAAATTCCAAGGGTTTTCGTGACTACTCACATTATCAAGGAACAATGAGTAGTCACGAAAGCGCTTGGAATTTCATTATTCCTTCACAGTGGTTGTTTTGCATATATATATATATATATATATATATATATATATATATATATATATATATATATATATATATATATATATATATATATATATTGTCGTGCCGAATAAGCAAAACTTGCGATCTTGGCTTAAATAGCAACGCTCATCTTGCCATATAGGACAAGTGAAAATTTGTGTATGCAATAATTTCGCCAAAATCATTCTGAACCTAACGAAAAAAATATATTTCACTGTGTTTGTTTAGTATTAAATTACTGTAAACAAATCTAAAATATATTTAGTTGGGTTAGGCTAAAATAAATTGTTTTTGTTATAATAAGGTTAGGTAAGTTTTCTAAGTTCCTTTTGGTGCAAAATTATAAATTTTTACATCATCATTAATGAAAAAAATATATCTTTAAACGTATAAGAGAAAATTTTAGAAAGGATTTAATTTTAAATGAGTTCTCGCTAATTGACTAGTTTTACCTATTCGGCACGACATTATATATATATATATATATATATATATATATATATATATATATATATATATATATATATATATATATATATATATATAGATATATATATACACCTTGGGATACAGAACTTGAGGCTGTTTTAGTTCTGTGTCTCCATGCTACATGTACTAACAGATGGTCACTACTCACTACAGTGCTCCTTAATAATGAGAAAAAGACATCTACACCAAATCATAAACAAACTCGTGGATGTAGATGCACTGTGTGAGTTGGAGTGCGAGGGAGGAGTGAAAGCACTGTGTACGTGAGTGTTGGGCAAGGATTTCGTAAGTCTTAAGGAGAAAGCGCAGTCAAAATAAACTTATTTAAGGGATATGAGCGAGATGCTTGGGTGTGATGAAAGCCAAGGCAGCATTCACTTGAATAACTGTGGGTCAGATTGTTCCTTAAGCGCGGGTATCCATACAGTTGCTTTTGCCTGGTTTCAGTTTTAGCTATACCGTCCAGCATCATTTTTGGCTCTTGGTCTCTTGGCTCCACTCATACCTAGGCAGACTGTGTAGGGAACCTGGGAGCCTCTGCCTCCTTGCTCTCCCACCGCTCCCCCACTAATTAAATAAACTCAGGCTAAAGAAATATCTATCTCCCCCTCGCCTCTGTCTCTCACATATAAAACGTTAATTCCTTAGAACGCTGTCAAATCTTCTATCTTGTAGGCCATAATTTTTTTCCCTTGGTTCTAATCTTTTCCAGGATCGTTGTCTTCAGTTCTTCATTCTCTCCTTATATCACAGTTCCTTTACTATCTGGAGTCTTGTTGCAAACCTCTAGACCGCCTGGGATTTCTGGACATGTAACACGAGATGTAGACTCCATACCAGTGTTGCGTACTCCACGGAAGGCTTGACATATGTCGCGTATAGCGACATATGTCAAGATTCCAAAGACATACACCTGACTGGTGGTGTGCAGGTGACATGCACCTGACTGGTGGTGTGCAGGTGACATGTACCTGGCTGATGGTGTGCAAGTGACATGCACGTGACTGGTGATGCGCAGGTGACATGCACCTGACTGGTGGTGTTCAGGTGACATGCACCTGACTGGATGTGCAGGTGACATGCACCTGACTAGTGATGTGCAGGTGACATGTACCTAACTGGTGATATGCAGGTGACATGCACCTGACTGGTGGTGTGCAGGTGACATGTACCTGACTGGTGGTGTGCAGGTGACATGTACCTGACTGGTGGCGTGCAGGTGACATGCGCCTGACTGGTGGTGTGCAGGTGACATGTACCTGACTGGTGGTGTGCAGGTGACATGCACCTGACTAGTGATGTGCAGGTGACATGTATCTGACCGGTGATGTGCAGGTGACATGCACCTGACTGGTGGTGTGCAGGTGACATGCAGCCTCACTGACCCTCTTGTTGTCAACAAGCTCCAACCATAACAAACCAACCACTCTGTAAACAAACAAGACACGTGTACAAAATGTAGTCATCTGCTTGTCGGTATTATGTAAACAATAAATATAATATTACAACCACTCTGTGTACACAGGTGATCGTGAAGCTGGTGTGGGTGATAACCAAGAGGACTCCCAACCTTAGTTACCACATCAGTCCCCTGCTACTCTTTCTCCACGAGCTGGTGTGTCTGCCGCTGCTCGCCTGGAGGAATGCTGACTTCAGGCACGCCCTCAACTCCTGCTGTTGCGCCTCCAGGAAGAACGCTTCAGAAAGGGGAGCTTCACAAGTCACCCTGGACAGCCAGCTCTCTAAACAGTGATTTTTTTTTTTTTTTTTTTTTTTTTTTTTTTTTTTTTTTTTTTTTTTTTTTTTTTTTTTTACCTTCCCTGCCCCTCCACTTTCCCCCAGTTCAGCCAAGATAATCCTCCCCAAATCACCTAATATACCCCCCTTCCCAAGGTTACCCGAGACTGTCAGCTCTAGAAACAGAAACGAAGAACTAAGTAAATATCAAATTTTTGTGAAATTTGCCCACAAAGTTAGTGTTGTAGGGAGGTCAGGTTCCTGAATAAATTATTACTATTGTTATATTCATGGACAAACACTAAACCCTTAAAAAATCTAGCAACGCCTTGGGAAGTGGAGGCACTCAGTGTTGATCCAAGGAAGAGGAAGAGTAGTTCCAGTTCCTCGAATCAAAAGTTCTTCACCAGCATCAAGGATCCCTTCCCTACCTCCTTGAAGAGTTACTTGACTTGAAAGATTATTAGACTCGTCAAAATATATATTTATATAAGTCCGTCATTGAAGTCTGGTGGAGAAGTTACTGTGTCAAGAAGATCGACTTCTTATACGTGAGATTAAATCTTACATAATTCTTTCATGCAGTGTTTGGGATGATTATTTGGGACTGCCTATAACTAATTTATTTCCATTACCTTATTTACGACATTATATCCGGATAATTATTTGTTTCTAATTGTGACATTCTGCCGCATATTTGTGTGTGTGTGTGTGTGTGTGTGTGTGTGTGTGTGTGTGTGTGTGTGTGTGTGTGTGTGTGTGCGCGTATGTGTGTGTGTGTGTGTGCGTATGTGTGTGTGTGTGTGCGCGCGCGTGTGTGTGTATGTGTGTGGGCAAATTTTTTGCTTTTAATTGCTTATTTCAGGTCACTTGAATATATTTAATATTGTTATTTTACCGTCTTATGATGTAAATTTACCATATGTCTCTGATAATTTTGTGGATTATGACTTAGATACTGATTCCCTGATAGTAGTATGTTGTGAGATCAGTCATTTATAGTGGATTTCTCACAGGGGAACACTGTTTTTGAGTATTATCTGTTTCACGGTGGTTATATACAGTGAGGTTAGTCATCCTTCATGGCAGTACAACGGAGAAGGTCTGCTGTCTCATACAAGGAGAGGGGCGGGGGGCGGGGGGGCGGGGGGCGGGGGCGGGGGGCGGGGGGCGGGGGTAAATATCGTTTAGTCGACTGCTGAAAAATTGTGTAGAAGGCTTGTTCCTAAAGGCGGCCTTACGATGTAATTTATTTAGCGATCTTCTGGGGGACTGGTCTTTGACCGGATGTTGGTATGGGGACCCCAGCTGAAGATACTCAGAGTGGATGCAGTGCTGGCACCGGATATCTTGAAAGTGCTTTTCTACCATTGATAGTGTGCTGACCATGCTTCATCTGTGTGTCTCTTTGTGACTGCCACGTCCACCACTAAGTCTGTTTTTTTTTCCCTGTTGCCCTTGCTTAATAAGGTCCACCTGGAAGTTGGTCATCCACTGGAGAAAGCTATGTCATTCTTAGGAGCCCCTCTCGGATTTTTGCAATGAGTTGTGCCTAAGCTACCTGTTCTAAGTGTGCCACAAGCCTGACAAGTCGATTTATGCTATAGTCTTTTCTGGCAGAGAAGGGAAAAGAGAGCCTTACGATGCCTAAATAATGATCTCTGTGCCCTTTCGTGTTCAGATGTCTCGAGAGACGAGGACTTTATTGATGAATAGAAGAGAGAAAAGGGTTTGTGGTGATCAACCAAGCAGGTTGTGTTTTCATTCCAGAGTTCAAAGATATCTTTGTTGTTTTTGTTCAGATTACTGCCAATACTGAGTTCCATTTAACCATTGACTCAACTCAAAGTGTTCTGTGTGCCCTAGCCTAATATGCTGCAGTACATCCAGGAGTCTAAAACGACTCTAAAGCAGTTTACACATCTCCATGCCCAGCATAGAAACGTGGGCGTTTGTACCCGAACTATGTTGAGGTCCTGGGTAATGAACAGACCAATGCCAATGCTGTTGTCTTTTACTCAGTAATTGTTTTCAGTCATATAGTGATTTCTTAGCCCTACATACATTGGTTGGTCCTTGGAAAGTAGAGAGACGTATCGAGTTCTCCAAACTCGATTCAGTTCGGCTCGACGTGTATGTGTGACTCTTATCGCAAGAAATGTCACCATGAGAGGACTTATCGAGTATATGACACCCCATCTTACCCAAGTTCACCAGCTTGCGGTCGATCTTGCTCTTCTTTAGTGCAGTATGTGGTGTGTAGCAACGACACATATCTTAATGGTATACTAACAACTTCGGAAGTTACACAGTCTATTGAGACTATCACTGTAAGGTTACCTATTGGGCTACTGAAATATTGGGGGACAGTTTTAATCATAAATGTTAGATGGAACATTTTCAGGATATATAATTGTCTCTACTGATGCAAGTTATGTTAAGCTAGTGTGAGAACATTCATTATTTCGTCCTGTGCGTCTTAGAGCAACGGGTTTTCAATTTCAAGGTCAAGTGTTACCGTGAGAGTGTAGAGTACAAGCCTGCGTGTGCAAGTTTTTTATTATTATTATATTAATTATTATTATTATTATTATTATTATTATTATTATTGTTATTATTAATGATAATATTGAATTCCCTGGCAGGTGAGAGGTGCCAACACTCAGTAAATTATAAACCTTCCTTAAAATAACTAATTTTATTCTCCTGTGTTTTACAATACTCTTTTAAATCGTGTTTTATTTTTTAGGTTAAACTGGTAAATGCATTGTTATAAATGAAACAAAAGTATGTATATATTTTATTTATATCACAGTATTTCTTCATTCCACTTTATATCTCCAAAGTATTCCATTATATATTACTATAATATTTTTTATAACAGTCTGTACAGCGCTATATGACCTGTATTTAGTGCTTACTTGTGATTATAATAATTTATTATAGTCCTTAAACCTTTTATATTTTTCTCCGTCTGAATTATAACATGTATATTATTTATTAAAGAGAAGTCTGACCATTTTTTTCTAATTCATTTAAGTATATTTACGTATGTAGACACTTTTTCCGTAGCAAGCGCTAAGTTCAGACTGAATGGTGCATTTCCTTACCTTCACAGCGTCACTGCTTCACTATGTTCGTACATAAACTCATTACCGTAATGGCAAAAATAATGGTTGTAATCATAACGATGGTTATGATAAGCCAGCGGAAGTCCTCGGTCAGATGACCAAGAGCTCCAGCTGTGGGTCACCGTATGACTAACACCCGCGTCAGGAAATATTTGTCCTGACAGTTATACCTACAACAGTAGAGTAATAACAGTTCTGGCCAACCAGTTGTTCTTCATCTATGTCAACCCTCGTAGTTAGTCATTTACTTTCCATAGTTTAAATTTTCCTTTCTATTATTAACCAATTGTTGAATTTGTAAAAAATATTCTTTATTCCATACATTATTCATTAGGGAATTTTATACATCAATAAATCTAATTTTATAACCTGTCGTTTTAATTTCTAGAACCAAAATTTCTAATATCAATGATTTTTTTGTTGTTGTTTTACAGATATACATTTGCGTTTAGCCTTTCGTTTTTTCTTTCGAATTCTTTCTCCTTTCTATGCATATTAACTATTTGTAAAAATTTAATTCAGTATATTTTTTTCAAGTTTTGTCTCTGTTAAACCAAATAAATCTGATTTTTGGCTTTAATGTTCTTTAGTTATTTTATTATCAGTTTATGTATTTTTGTATATGAGAAACTATCAATTTCTTTACAGTTTTAAGTTTAACAGTAATTGATACTGACGAAGGGCTCTTAATCCAAAGAATTAGAGCTGTTATTCCCTTTCTCTGATTAACCCTTATTAACTCATTAACTAGGCAGTATATGATCCCTACAGGTTTAACGCTTCCACACGAATACAATAAATGTTGCGTGTGTTGAAGGTAACCTTCAGTGAAGTCCTCGCTCAGGTTGGTCGTGGTGATCCAGTCTGACCTCCTGCCTCTGCCTTCTCTCTCCTTCCATACGCTTATCTCACTAGTTCACGACTTTATGGGAACTTTCGTATTTATCATTAAAACTGTATGGAATCCTGTTTTACTCCTGATCTGTCAGTTTACTTCCTGGTCTGTCAGGTTATTGGGGAGGAATTTCTCTCATTGTGTCTCATTCAATTATATTTCATATTTGCTGGCTTGTCTCTGATCCTCGCATTTCATTCTGTATCTGCATGCCAAGTGGCATTCTCTGAGTATCTTTTACATTGTTATCATGTCTCCCATAGTCCTTCTATCCTTTGAAGCTGTTAGGTTCTATTCTCGTAGTCTCCTCTCTGGGATCAGCTCTCTCACCTCCGGGATTTGTCCCGCTCCCGTATGGACTTTCACTAGTTTCTGCATACTTTATCAAGCGTGCACTCCAGGTTGGTGCTACATACTGTATAATATGCCCGACATATGTCACGTACAAAGCACTGCAAAATTCTCTGTCAAGGCTCCTTAATAAAGTTCTCTTTTTTCATAGTGACACCAACACAAGTGATGATATTCGTTTAATTTAACTTCTGATGTGTTCGGTACTATCCTTATCTTAAACTTCTTCTTCAAAGTTCCTGTAGCGAGACTGAGATACCTAAACACAAGCATTGGGGGAGGACGAATGTGCCTGGAAAAGCGAGAACATTAGCAATGCTTACGCAACACATCGGGATCTTGTTTTTTTTTTTATTGAGAAATGGATTGGAACAAATAAAGCATTGTAATGAAAACTCGATACCTTGAAGCAGCAACCATTAACTGCTCAGAGACGTTTAAGCTTAGCAATCAATTCCTCAAGACTAATACTTCCGACCTAACCTGTGCTGAGAAAGAATATCAACTCTTCTACTTGAGAACTGACCTCACCTCTGACTTGAATATTGCAATCAACTCCCTGATCTTCACTTAATAAAAGATACAAACAATAAGAATTTTATTTACCGAGGTATTGCGAAGTGTGGCACTTTGTCAAGTATCAAGGAACCTCCAGTAAAGTAACTATCAAGAGCCCACCAGTGACATCGCTGTCAAGAGCCCACCAGTGACATCGCTGTCAAGATCCCACCAGTGACATCGCTGTCAAGAGTTCACCGGTGACGTCACTGTCAAGAGCTCACCAGTGACGCCACTATCAAGAAGCCCACTAGTACCGTATACAAGAGCTCACCAGTGACCTCACTATTAAGGCTTAGAGATAACTGTCAAGGGCCCACAGAGGAAACTATCAGGGGCCCACCAAGCAAGGCCTCGTTCAATGGTCCACTGGACACCCTCGGACCCCTCAATTTAGGAGCCAATAACACCTCGATGGTGTCAGATAAAGTCTCCTATCTCATTTCCTCTCCCCTTCCTATCCCCGGCCCCTACTTGTCTCTCCTTCCCATCCCCTTCCCCTCTTTGTCTCCCCTTCCTATATTCCGGCCCCCTCCACCTCCCCCCTTCCCTCCTCTCTTTTTCTTTATCCAATGTTTCTTTTCCATCCTCTTCTCTCCACTCTCCCTCTTCCTCCACTTCTGCCTATCTTTTTACCCCCTCCCTCTTCTCCTAACTTACTTCTCCTTAACCCCAATTCTCTTCAGTTCCCATAGTGTCCTTTTTAACTATTTTTTCTCCTCTCCACTCCCATCTTTTCTGCACTTCCTCTGCCACCTCAGTACCACCTCCCAAAGCCTCCCTCTCTCCCTCCTCTCGCCCTCTTCTTCCTTCCTCTCTCTCTCCCTTTCTCCCTTGTTCTCCACCTTTTTTTCTTCGTCACTTCCAGGTTTTACACTGGACTTAAAGGATTAGTCTCTGATTTTCTCCTTTTATTTCGTCTTAACAATGTCCTTATAATAGTTAATTTATAGTTGTGTACTTCAGTTCGTATTAAGCAACATTGACACAGGACACAGCGTGACATTGGTGAGAGTTGTGGGGCCAGAATTTTCTTTTATTCAATTGACTTGATTTGCCTTTGATCTGTTGAGAGAATGTTCACTAAGGGAGTGATTTATTTTGAAAAATGTGCAGGTAGAGTGAAATTGCTGATAGCTTCCCCGTCGTGTGGCAAAGTAACTCTTTCCTGGTTTTCCAGTAAGTTAGGACA